ATGTAAGATACTACACTTAGGCAGAAAAATGAAATGCAAAGATACGGAATGGGTGAAACTTGGCATACAACATCTAGGTGAGAAAGATCTTGGAATCTTTGTCGACAACAAGTTGAACATGAGCCAATAGTGTGATGCAACAGCTAAAAAAGCAAATGGGTTTTTGGGCTACATCAAAATGTCTAGATTAGTGGTTCTCAATCTGTGGGCCTCCAGGCGTTTTGGTCTACAACTTCCAGAAATCCCAGTCAGTTTACCAGATGTTAGGATTTCTGGGAGTTGAAGGCCAAAACATCTGAGGACCTATGGGGCTTGCTTTCCAGACCCTTGATCATTTTAGTCGCCCTCCTCTGGACACATTCCAGCTTGTCAATATCTCTCTTGAATTGTGGTGCCCAGAATTGGACACAATATTCCAGATGTGGTCTAACCAAAGCAGAATAGAGGGGTAGCATTACTTCCTTAGATCTAGACACTATGCTCCTATTGATGCAGGCCAAAATCCCATTGGCTTTTTTTGCCGCCACATCACATTGTTGGCTCATGTTTAACTTGTTGTCCACGAGGACTCCAAGATCTTTTTCACACATACTGCTCTCGAACCAGGCGTCACCCATTCTGTATCTTTGCATTTCATTTTTTCTGCCAAAGTGGAGTATCTTGCATTTGTCACTGTTGAACTTCATTTTGTTAGTTTTGACCCATCTCTCTAATCTGTCAAGATCGTTTTGAATTCTGCTCCTGTCCTCTGGAGTATTGGCTATCCCTCCCAATTTGGTGTCGTCTGCAAACTTGATGATCATGCCTTCTAGCCCTTCATCTAAGTCATTAATAAAGATGTTGAACAGGACCGGGCCCAGGACAGAACCCTGCGGCACTCTGCTCGTTACTTCTTTCCAAGATGAAGAGGAAGCATTGGTGAGCACCCTCTGGGTTCGTCCACTTAACCAATTACAGATCCACCTCACCGTAGTTTTGCCTAGCCCACATTGGACTAGTTTCCTTGCCAGAAGGTCATGGGGGACCTTGTCGAAGGCCTTACTGAAATCCAGATACGCTACATCCACGGCATTCCCCGCATCTACCCAGCTTGTAGCTCTATCGAAGAAAGAGATCAGATTAGTCTGGCATGACTTGTTTTTGATAAATCCATGTTGACTATTAGCGATGACTGCATTTGTTTCTAAGTGTTTGCAGACCGCTTCCTTAACAATCTTTTCCAGAATCTTGCCCGGTATTGACGTGAGGCTGACCGGACGGTAGTTGTTTGGGTCATCCTTTTTTCCCTTCTTGAAGATTGGGACCACATTGGCCCTCCTCCAATCTGCTGGAACTTCTCCCGTTCTCCAAGAACTCTCAAAGATGGTTGCCAATGGTTCCGAAATGACTTCCGCTAGTTCCTTCAATACTCTGGGGTGTAGTTGATCTGGCCCTGGGGACTTGAACTCATTAAGAGCGGCCAGGTATTCCTGGACGACTTCTTTCCCAATTTGGGGTTGGATGTCCTCCAATCCCTCATCCACTCCATCTTGCTGAGGTTGAAGACTCTCTTTTTGTGAGAAGACCGAGGCAAAGAAGGCATTAAGTAGTTCTGTCTTTTCTCTATCCCCTGTCAGCATTGCCCCATCTTCTCCTCGAAGAGGTCCTATCGCCTCCTTGTTTTTCATTTTTCTACTGACATAAGAATAGAAGCCCTTTTTATTGTTTTTAATGTCCCTGGCAAGTCTGAGCTCGTTTTTTGTTTAGCCTTGCGGACCTTTTCCCTACAGGTGTTGGCTATTTGTTTGAATTCTTCTTTGGTGATTTCTCCCTTTTTCCACTTCTTGTGCATGTCTCTTTTGTGTCTTAGCACAGTTAGAAGTTCTTTGGACATCCATTCTGGCTTCTTTGCACTTGTCCTATTTTTTCTCTTTGTTGGCACGGTTTGCAATTGCGCCTTGAGTATTTCACTCTTGAGAAATTCCCATCCATCCGTAACTCCCTTGTCTTTTAGTATCTGTGTCCACGGAGTGCTGCTCAGCGTTTCCTTCATTTTTTGGAAATCAGCTCTCCTAAAGTCCAAAATGCGGGTTTGACTTGTCTTAGTTTCGGCCTTCCTTTGTACCTCAAATTGCAGGAGCACATGGTCACTTGCCCCTAAGGATCCTACTACTTCGACCGCATCGATCAGGTCCTCCGCATTTGTTAGGATGAGATCAAGAGTAGCCAATCCCCTTGGCTACTCTTGACAAGCTGGAGGATATTGACAAGCTGGAGGGTATCCAGAGGAGGGTAACTAAAATGATAAAAGGTCTGGAGACCATGCCCTATGAGGAGCATCTTAAAGATCTGAGGGTGTTTAGCCTGCAGAAGAGAAGGCTGAAAGGAGACATGATAGCTATGTATAAATAAATGAAAGGATGTCATAAGACAGGGGGAGCAGGCTTGTGTTCTGCTGACCCGGAAACTAGGACTCAGAGCAATGATTTGAAATTACAGAAAAGGAATTCCATCTGAGCATTAGGAAGAACTTTCTGACTGTAAGAACTGTTCAACAGTGGAATTTTATGCTTCAGTGTGTGGTGGAAGCTCCTTCCTTGGAGGCTTTTAAACAGAGAATGGAGAGTCATCTGTCAGAAGTACTTTGATTGTCCTTTTCGTGCGTGGCAGGGGTTTGGACTAGATGGCCCATGTGGTCTCTTCCAACTCTATTATTCTATTATTCTATCCAATGGAACCAAATCCTGTTTGATCTTGGAAGCTAAATAGCAGCACCCCTTGTTAGCACTTGGATGGGAGAACACCGATGAATGCCAGGTTCTCTAGGCCATATTTTAGAGAATGGAACTGGCAAAACCACCTCTGTGTATTACTTGCCTAAGAAAATCCTGTTAGATCCATCACGTCTTCTTAAAGACTCAAATACACACAGAGATTTAAAATATAGGATTTTAAACTATAACTTTCAGAGTAGCCTAGCTAGCATAATTAGTGACTTAGTGTTTGCGATAGTCTAGAAGACAGGAAAAGTGAGTTGTTTGGATTAGATTTCCCCGAATACCCCAGACAATATGGCTAGTGGCCAAAAAGTTTGGGGCATTCTGGGGGAAGTTTTAAAACTTTTTAAAAAAAATTAGATCTGCCAGAAAGCCCTTGTTACTCTGCCCATGCCATATGTTATTCTGAGAACTGTAGTGTGACATAGTAAGAATCTACAGAGGAGAAGCTTGTATCTGAAGAACATGCACATTAACAGGATTTTCTGTGTCTAGTGCCCTTCACAATAAGAGGGCGAATAAAGGTTCAACCGATGATTTGGAGACTGGTCTTTTCCTGATATTGGGAATTTGTCCACTGTGTGATCTTTGGATCACTCAAACCAAAGGTAATTATTCTGGGACAGATTCAGTTCACCTTCAGACACAAAACATTATTTCCACATGAGATAATATTACTGACATAATTGATAGGACTGGTAGATGAGAACTGGATATTACATGCCATATCACATGTTTAGAAGGTGATACAGAAATCCTTAATAATAAATAAGGGAATGAAACCTCCACAATACTGGAAAGTCCTTTGATTTGCTTTTTCACCAGTTCACACCAACCATGTAGTGCCTCATATGACTCCTGGGAACTGAGAGACCCTTTTGTAGCAGCATGGTATTGTGGGCTCCAGTAGGTGGGAGGAACTGGTAAAAGCCAAGACTTACCCAACTGGAAAAGCTCTCTCTTAGTATAAAGGCATTACTGGCAGCAACATTTGATTTGTTATTGGAAGCAATTTATAATCCATGGTGTTTTGAATTCTCTTCATGTCAGTAACATGCTCAGTTAATCATTTTGTTACTCATAACTTAATCACTTTTGTTTCCTAGTATGTTATGTGGGCAACCTGGGGATCACAACCAGATACAGTGAAGACATCTGCCCTTGCGCTGTGCTACTCTGCTGCTGCGTATGCATACCCAGTGTGGAACACATCTCACCACACTAAAACAGTGGGTATGGCTCTTAATGAGACATGCCACATTATCACGGGGTGTCTGCGCCCTACACCACTGGAGAAATTACACTGCTTAGCCGGTATTGCACCACCTGACATCCGCCGGGAAGTAGCAGCCAATAGTGAAAGGACCAAGGCTGAGATATCTCCAGCTCATCCCCTGTTTGGGTATCAGCCAGCACGTCAACGACTTAAATCTAAGACATAGTTTTCTAAGATCTACAGAGACACTCGCTGGAACACCTCAGCAAGCGAGAGTCCAAAAGTGGCAGGCTCAAACCCAGAACCTCAACCAATGGCTGATACCAAATGAGAGACTCCCCCCTGGGCACACAGAAGACTGGGCGACTTGGAAGGCGCTGAACAGACTGCGCTCTGGCACCATGAGATGCAGAGCCAACCTTCAGAAATGGGGCTACAAAGTGGAATCCTCAACATGCGAGTGTGGAGAGGAGCAAACCACTGACCACTGCTGCAATGCAACCTGAGCCCTGCCACATGCACAATGGAGGACCTTCTTGCAGCAACACCAGAAGCACTCCAAGTGGCCAGATACTGGTCAAAGGACATTTAATCAACTACCAAACTCACAAATTTTGTATTATGTCTGTTTGTTTGCTTTGTTCTGTTAGAAATGTAATATAATTGACTGGCTGCCCTGACACGAAATAAAAAAAAATGTGGACATTAAATATATAATATATGCTTCAAATTATTTATTAATATTATTGCATTTCCCCCATCAATACCCTTTATATTTTAGCAAGATTTTTTTTCAATTTTGCAGCACCATTGAACAAATAGTTGTCAAGGAAATATATTCACACAAAAAATATCTAAACAAAAATATGTCTTTGTCATATATTAGCTGAGCCTGATCTTGCCAAATGAAAATAATAACAATTGGGAGTTTAATGTGTTATAAGTGCTATGTTAGAAAACGAAGTTGATCTGATTGTTAGCTAACTGGAGTGTCACCCTTAAACTATTTCTGTTTCATTTATTTTCAGGATTGCCTGGCACTGCTGCTGACTTAGATAAAAGAAAGCTAATTTTTGGGAAAAACTTTATACCTCCGAAGAAGCCAAAAACTTTCATACAGTTAGTCTGGGAAGCATTACAGGATGTGACTCTTATCATCTTGGAAATTGCAGCCATCATATCTCTTGGACTCTCATTTTATCATCCACCTGGAGAGGGAAATGAAGGTAATATTACTTTTTAATACTAATTCTAATGCCACATATTTAAATTTCTTAGAAAATCATGTCTTGTATTCTAAATTCTCTCCACTCCTTTTTGTCTCCCTCTCCCCTGAATATTTCATATGAAAAAATTATTCTAGTGTGTATGACTTGATTTATCTCTTAATGCTTTATCATCTCTCCTAATTTCAAGTTATAATGTTAAAGCCACATATTTAAAACATCTCAAAGAGCTCTCTGCCTAATGTTTTTGTGTTGGTGTGTACTGAAACTGGATATGAAAAGCTGGAGTAAGAAATTGGGGGGGCGGGTGTCCAATTTTGTTGGACTGCAACTCCCAGCATTCCTATCCATCATAGCTAATGATGGGGAATGAAAGAATTTCAAGGACATTAAGGATATTGTGCAGAGAAGAGCAGTCAGGATTATCAAAAATCTGGAAACCAAGCTTTATGAGGAACAATTTTGGAAGTGGAGATGGAAGTAATATCGTGTTTTAATTATCTTTAAAATGTAGAAGATGGAGGATATTTTCTTGTATTTTCCTTCACAGCATCAGGTTGGACTGGATGGCCCTTGTGGTCTTTTCTACCTCTATGATTCTATGAGTTTGTTTTCTACTCCAGAGACTAGAGTAGAAAGCAGTGGATTAAAATTATGAGAAAAGAAATAACAGCTAAATATTAGGAAGAATGTAGTGACGTTAAGATCTGTTGGCACTGGAATACATTGCCTTGGTGGAGATGAAGAGGGGGTGGACTCCATCTGTGTAGATCTTGAAGCGGAGGTTGGGTGGCAATTTTTAGAAGAGCTGTATTGTGTATTCCTACATGGCAAAAGGTTGGATTAGATAGGCCTTGCCAGTTCTTCCAACTCTCATGCACGTGATGATCTTAACATACAAACATTTACTATTGAAATGTCACCACCACCCCCCATACATCATTAATACATCTTAGCAAACTTTGATTTCTGTTCCAGAGTTTATTTTTATTTTGGTACACCCACAAGTAGGGTGTTTAGAGAGTTGCTGTAGTTTTTTTCTTCTTATATATTTATTCTAGAACAATCCAAGAACATATACACACAAACACAATGAAATTTGATAGGACAATCCCTTATGATAGAGAGAAGAAGAATTGAGATGATTCCTCTCTGTTTTAGTGCTCACCCTGAAGAGTCCACATACAGCATTCACACTTAGAAAGCACAGTACATTTACAAGGAAGGTAGATGGGTTCTCCTCATAACATTAGGGCCAGTTTCTGTGAGTGCTGTTATCAGTTGCACAATATTTTGAGCCATACTACAAAAGTCACAGGGCCAGGCAGCACTGGATATGGATGCATTGTCCAGCTTTTATATGGTAATTCCCCCTTCCAATAGGTTTTAAGCTTAAGTCATCTTCTAGGCTCTGGTGACTCCTGTTCTTCAGTCAGTATTCATCACACAGGTGGATCAGAATGCAAATTTTGATTCTTAGGCCAGAGGAAAACAAAATGCACATAGAAACACATCCCATAAACCAAGAACTCAAATTACTCCAGACTCTACTCAATTGTATGGAAGCAATCCTTAGATATGTCAGAGAAAGCACTGGACTTTGCTGTTACAGTTCCCTTAACTGGATGCCTTATTCTACACACAATTAGTATCTTAAAATCATATGGTCTCTTTTTATTTAAAGATAGTGATATTTTCCAGGACAGTGTCTACATGGGCCAAATAAAACAAACTCATGTTGAACCTTCTGCAAGCAGTCCATATGACGTATGGCTGGTTCCACAGCATTGCTGCCAGCCATTAGTCTAGCACAAAGAGAACTGCAGGTCACTCTGTAGCTTCCAGGAAACTCCAGAGTGAACCAGGTGTTTTTGACACATGAAGAGCTGGATTGGCAAATCAGGATCCCCAGGTCAAAAAAAGACACGCAACTCTGTTGGTAACTAGAAGCAGCTGCCCAGCAAAGCCTTGCTGGTGGCATGACTTTTAGTGATCACTCAGCTGGGCACCCTTTTGTAATCTCACCAGAAATGATGTTACTAGTGAGGCTCTGCCAGGGAGCTGCTTTTGGCTAGAGGAATAGCAGTATCAGTGTGCTGTGAGTCCAGCTGGCCATTTCGATTCCAGAAATGTTTTGAGATGGCCCCGTGCTATTTCTGGGGCTGCTCTTCAGCAGCATAGATTTTTGAATAAGGACTTCTGAGCTCTGATTCCTTGAAAGCATTGGGTATTATCCCAAATAATTTGTTGAACTGAAAAAATGTGTCTTAATCCTATCATGTTTATTCATACCTTTGGAATAGGAGCCCCTGGTGGTGCAATGGGTTAAACCCATGTGCTGGCAGGACTGCTGATTGAAAGGTTGGCGGTTCGAATGAGGCAAGCTCCTATCTGTCAGCTCCAGCTTCTCATTTGGGGACATGAGAGAAGCCTTCCATAGGATGGTAAAACATCCGGGCATAACCTGGGCAACGTCCTTGCAGATGGCCAATTCTCTCACACCAGAAGCGATTCCGCAAGTTGCTCCTGATATGAAAAAAGTACATTTGGAATGGATTTCTATTCCTTCACATGTCCCCAAAATCCGTTCTAGAGAGTTAACGGATCCCCAGATCAGTTTGAGTTATAGAGAGAGATATGTTACCAGAAATTATGTTATACCTGCCCATACAATATAGATTTAACCCAGTGTGTTGATGTTTGTGATAACAAACATCGATCTCCACCTATCTTCATCATATATGGAGAGTGAACTGACAGAAACTCCTTATTGGGGGTATATATATGTGTGTGTATGTGTATGTGTGTATGTATGTGTGTGTGTGTATATATATCTGTCATTGCTTCGTATTTTAATACGGGTTGTATTTTGAAAGCCCTTCTCACTATATTCTCTCTTCCATGTATGTGATAAATTGATGTTTGATACATAAAGTACACATATTTATAAAATTTTGTTGTCTCCTCTCCCATCAAGAAGGATGAGTTTTTCAGAAGCATTACTAGCCCGCTCCCAATAATATATAGAATCTAACTTTAGGAAATATGTAACTTTAAGTGAGAAATGATTCAGAATTAATTTTCTTAAGCAAATGAACAGCTGCAGAGTAACAGGCGGTGATATTCAGCAGGTCTCAGTAGTTGCAAATAAACTTTTCTCCTATTTTTAAACCCTTGGTATTAAAAGGGAAACTTAGAATATTTGCTCTCATAACAGTTGAGTGCTGGAAATTCATTCTTTTCTCTCTTTTTTGCCTTTTTGCTGGGTTATGATATTTTATTTCCCATGGGAAACTGTTGCACTTTGCAGTTGACAGCTTGGGAACTGTGAAGAAACAACATTTAGCATGAGAACTATAAGGGCCTTTCCTACCACCCTAATAAATTAACCTACTGAAATATATTTTAAGTGTTTGTTTTGCCACATTTTATGTCATACGTATATTGAGAAAAATGCATTACTTTAGATGACACGTGCTTTTTTTATACTTGCCTAGATTTTTACTCTGATTTTTTTCTACAACTATTTGGAACTAGATAGTAACCCTAAACACTAAGGATAGACAGAATGAAAGATAAATTTATTCTTAATATTTATTTATTTATTTATTTACAGTATTTATATTCTGCCCTTCTCACCCCGCAAGGGACTCAGGGCAGATTACAATGCACATATACATGGCAAACATTCAGTGCCATAGACATTTAACATATTTAGACAGACACAGAGGCAACATTCCAGCTTTCCGGCTTCGTGAGGGTATGCTCAGTTCTGGCCACAGGGGAAGCTGTCGCTTCACCATCCACTTGTGAAACCGAGTCCTTGATGGAGTACTTCCTCATTCTTATGCACAATGCTGGAAGGTTTTTTATGGCATCGTAAATTAGTTAAATTAGCCTCCCCGCCTCAAGCAGTACCTACATTTCCTACTTGACAGATTCAACTGTCTTTCATGCTGCACAGGTCATCAGCAAGGTAGACTATTAATGGTTGGGAGCTCACTTAGACTTGGGCTGGCTTTGGACTCATGACCTCTCAGTCAGTAGTGATTTAATGTAGCTGGCTACTAATTAGCTGTACCACACTCCTGTTGGGTTTTGTATGGCATTATGCATCACCATAAAAGACTGTCCTCCAAAAGTATATGTTTATCCTTACATATGTATGCCAGTCCCATTCAGCGAGAATTACATATGAGGATATCTGTATAGAATTGCACCATAAATGAGTAATAACCCTCAACCTGACTTTTGATGTTTTCTGTAAAATTGTTTTACATTACAAATTCTTTGATATGGTTTTCTGAACTGTTTGAGGAGAAAAGGTTGTCATTCCTACATATCTTGGTAATCTGACAGAACAGATGGAAAGCAAATTGGCTCAAAGAAGCTCTACATTGCATTAGAATAACCTGTCCAACCTGTCCAGGGCCATTCCAAGAAGTTTTGTTGAATAGGTGAAGGTTGTTACAGTATATCAGGGCATCTAATTGTGCCTCCTTTGTAAGCCGCCCTGAGTCCCCCCCGGGGTGAGAAGGGCGGGGTATAAGTA